AACATTTTCCTTAACACACCAACATTTCTTATTGAAACAATGCCTTTTCCTGTAATGATGTATTGCACAATACAGTATATCATGTTTGCCTAAATGTATCAAACCAAGCCTTTGTTAGTACAGAAATATGTATCTTGTTGTTATGGCATTTATCGTGTGCGTGTTCAATGCCCGGCCCACTCTGCTAGTCAAAGTAATATTCAGTTCTACAGTAGTGTAAGGCTTCTTCTACAGCCTTGCGTGTTCTCTTTTAAAAGGATTCAATTGTACAGTTTTTTTCTGTTAGACCTAGTGGATGGTATAGTCATTAAAAAATAAGAAAAAAAAAACATTAGTGATGCATGACAACATTACTGATGTGCAGGGATATTTTATTAAAAATTACTTAAACCAGTCCAAAATGGTTTCCTGGTCTTGTCGTAGCCGGTTTAAGTTGGTTTTGCTAGTCGCCCAACCAGAAACCAGCTTGGTGACCTTAGGCTGTTTTGTTTTTTCAGGAGGGCTTTTGGGGTGCCAAGATAAAGAGGTCATAACTTAAACCAAGCTGTTGACTTGTTAACCTTCAGCATCCATTTTACTTCAATAGTATGTTCGCTTAATGTGTAGGATGTAGTTTCTCTCTCTCTTTCCCAATGTCAATCTTTGAATGGAGCAGCTGCCCAACTTGCGTTCACTGACAAGGCCAAATGCTGACTAAATCTAAGCATCCACAAATTTGCTTTGAGAATGACGACCCTTCAAAATGCCAGATGACAGCAGAATTACAGCACACAGTTAAAGATGCATTTGCATATTCTTGATTTTGGTTAGTAACAGAATGGCCAAAAATATTGCAAATATATATTTGTATGAGTTCTGGACTAGCAGACACGCAAAGCTCAAAATGAGTTTATGGAAGTTCTCTACCATAACTTTGCTAATGGTGTTATTTTAAAGCTCTTGAGATTCAAGTAAGTTCCTTAGCAAAATCATTAATAGAAAGTATCTCTCACTCAATTTTTTTTTATCTCTCACTCACACTCATGCATTCCCATAATGAAATCTTTGAGCAAGGTTGGTTTAAATGTTAGAGAAGCATTTGTAATCTTATCTAATGCTTTGGATGCCAGGAACAAGCACTCCCCTGGCTTGGAATTATAGTACAGATCTCTTCCCTTGATGTGTATACTGTCGTCTTGTGCTTTCAACATGGTCATTTTGTACACTTTGGTTTATGGGCATTGCCGCTTACCCACGTTCAGGCTTTTTTTTAGGCGACGCAATGTCCAAACGGCTTCTATGGATGTGCAGTTATGCTTTGGTCTGTGCTTTTATCGTTTTGGATATTTATGAGATATGTTTATGTTCAGGGCTCAAAACGTTCTAAGCTAGTACAACTATGCAAGCTCAATTTCACTCATTGTTGCATTCCGAATGTGTCAGAACACAGTTCATGACTCAACAATTCTAAGACTTGCCACAGGAGGCGCTATAGCGGGCATGAATGTAAACACTCTTCTACAGTCAGGTAAACTAAAGTCATGGCAGAGCAACAGTTTAAAGAGAATTTTGCTGTGCAAGTTAAAGTTGGTTTCAACTGTCAACATTTAGCTACCTGAATAATAACACATCCGATTTAACAGCATAGACATTTGAAAGAAACTCCCATCACACCCTTGAGAACTGAGGTTTGTTACTGCCGCAGTAACACAACAGTAACACAAGAGTGCATGCTTTTGCATTGCTACGTACTTCTGTAGATTGTTTTTGGCTTAATATGTTGTATAACAGCCCATGAATAAAAGGACTTTGGTGGCCCATCACTTGTATAGACATGAAAATAGACTAAAAAAGTTTTGAGTTTCTTTGCTGAAATGTCTTGTATACCTTGAGCAGGATGATAGATTTGCATGTCTGCTAGTTTCATTCATTCAAACTGTCTTGGATTTGTGTACAGGAGGTAGCTAGTAAGGAAAGGGAGGGGATGGTGTATGAAAAATCCTCCTCAAAATGTAGGGAGAGAGAGAGAGAGAGAGACCTACTTCATCAGACTGGTGTTCTAGTAATTCACTGGTTCGGGATCATTTGTTGCTGTTATTTTCTGGATGAGTTCATATATTGCTTTAGAAATCCGATAATAGATTATCCGCTTATGCCATGTGAAAAATTAAACCATCAACCCACCTCATGCCTAAAGCAACACCAAAATAGAATGAGCAACAAGCAGGCCTTTCAAGTTTGGTCCGTATCAGAAGTACGCCACGTAATCAACAAAATTGGCATTTCAATTAGACTGCAGAAAATTATAACTGACCAAAACAAATGCTGTAAACAGGGCTGCAAGTGTAAGCTGGTGGCAAAATTCTAAGTATTTTTACACGGAGGGGTAGTCTTGTCCGTTGTAACTGCCATCACAAACAACCCTTAAGGAACATGAATGTTGGGATCAGCAGAGCTTGCTCGGTGCACACAGCAACTTCTATTGATATTTTCCAGACTACATTAAATATGGGTTATGTTTCGGTACTATGTTGGATCACAACCTGAGGTCCAAAGTAAAATCTGGGTACTCAAGCAAAACCAGATGAGAACCAGATAGTGTTTGCTTGATTTTTGTGTCAGAGCTATGGATAAATGAGGGTTTGTTTTTGTGATTGTATGTGCATGCATGTGTGTGCAAATTACACATTGGACCACTGCAGTGACACTTTGGCCCAAAGGATGGCAATGTTACACACAGATTCTAGAGGCTTCCCTCCCAAATGCCAGTCTGGGAACTTCTCAGCGGGGCGAGCTAGGTCAGTCTATTGTGGTTTGGCGTGTCGTTAAAGTGATGCCATTTGTTTCGACATGCTTATGGCTACAAAAATGTCTCGCCCAACATGTCCGTAAGCAGAGTCCTCAGGCAGTAATCTACACAAGCAGTGATGTGAACACCACTTCCTCCTCCACTGTTACAACAGACGTTGTAAATTGATCATTCAGACAGAAAAGATTAAATGGAGAGAAATTAAATTCTAGACATTATACTTGAAAGGTTTCTGTTATTTGGCAAACTCATTTTTGGACCTCTTTTTAAATACTATGTACATTCACATTAATTTACTGTGGTAATTTTAGATATATTTATATGTATATTTATATTATAAGATACCCTAAGGGCCGTTTCTGAGGTTCCATTCAGTAGCTGAATTCTCTTTTCATATTGCACCTCCGTTCTCTCACTGTCTTACAATGCGAGCAATATAAAATATTCTACATGAGGATTCTCACCATCAATATTGATACAACAAATCGAACAATAGGTACAACACAGCTTCTCTCCCATTAGAGTGTCTTTTTCTGTCCAATGTTTGGCTGAAACCTAAAAGAAGACAAAGAAAGAACGCGTTCCTCGTTCTGAGTACTCACACAAGCAGATATTGAAGACAGAGAAATCCAGACTATTGAGTTTTGTCATTTTGTATTTTGACATACTTTCATGGTATTGGAATAATGTCTTGCTAGGATTCCTGTGGGATTGTTTGACTAGGAATGCTGGTCAATGACCAATGTGATTGACAGATAGCTGCCAAGACATCAGTATGTATGTTTCTTCTTATGACAGGTGAGATTTCACACTTTTAACTGATGTCTATAAACTTATAAACATGGTTTCAATTGTACCTCATTGGGGACCGCCTTTGATAAATGGACACAGGCATACATCACATTCCAGCTTTTAAGAATATGACATTTTGTGGAGAAAGGTTTTCTATGTTAAAATACACGAATTGAGAGACTAGTCATATTTCACTGTCTTTTTAATTACACAGATACGTATCTCAACACAGACAATAACCTGATTTAGAATGTTTACAGCGTCACATGTCCAACAAAGCGCACAGTAAGAGAGGGTGAGGGAATTGCAAAAAGGGGGAAAGAGCATGCAAGAAATAAATAAAACTCTCCTGGCACAGTTCACATCGTCTAGAGAATGATAACAGGACCTTGAAAGAGAGAGAAAAAAACATTTTCCTTAACACACCAACATTTCTTATTGAAACAATGCCTTTTCCTGTAATGATGTATTGCACAATACAGTATATCATGTTTGCCTAAATGTATCAAACCAAGCCTTTGTTAGTACAGAAATATGTATCTTGTTGTTATGGCATTTATCGTGTGCGTGTTCAATGCCCGGCCCACTCTGCTAGTCAAAGTAATATTCAGTTCTACAGTAGTGTAAGGCTTCTTCTACAGCCTTGCGTGTTCTCTTTTAAAAGGATTCAATTGTACAGTTTTTTTCTGTTAGACCTAGTGGATGGTATAGTCATTAAAAAATAAGAAAAAAAAAACATTAGTGATGCATGACAACATTACTGATGTGCAGGGATATTTTATTAAAAATTACTTAAACCAGTCCAAAATGGTTTCCTGGTCTTGTCGTAGCCGGTTTAAGTTGGTTTTGCTAGTCGCCCAACCAGAAACCAGCTTGGTGACCTTAGGCTGTTTTGTTTTTTCAGGAGGGCTTTTGGGGTGCCAAGATAAAGAGGTCATAACTTAAACCAAGCTGTTGACTTGTTAACCTTCAGCATCCATTTTACTTCAATAGTATGTTCGCTTAATGTGTAGGATGTAGTTTCTCTCTCTCTTTCCCAATGTCAATCTTTGAATGGAGCAGCTGCCCAACTTGCGTTCACTGACAAGGCCAAATGCTGACTAAATCTAAGCATCCACAAATTTGCTTTGAGAATGACGACCCTTCAAAATGCCAGATGACAGCAGAATTACAGCACACAGTTAAAGATGCATTTGCATATTCTTGATTTTGGTTAGTAACAGAATGGCCAAAAATATTGCAAATATATATTTGTATGAGTTCTGGACTAGCAGACACGCAAAGCTCAAAATGAGTTTATGGAAGTTCTCTACCATAACTTTGCTAATGGTGTTATTTTAAAGCTCTTGAGATTCAAGTAAGTTCCTTAGCAAAATCATTAATAGAAAGTATCTGTCACTCAATTTTTTTTTATCTCTCACTCACACTCATGCATTCCCATAATGAAATCTTTGAGCAAGGTTGGTTTAAATGTTAGAGAAGCATTTGTAATCTTATCTAATGCTTTGGATGCCAGGAACAAGCACTCCCCTGGCTTGGAATTATAGTACAGATCTCTTCCCTTGATGTGTATACTGTCGTCTTGTGCTTTCAACATGGTCATTTTGTACACTTTGGTTTATGGGCATTGCCGCTTACCCACGTTCAGGCTTTTTTTTAGGCGACGCAATGTCCAAACGGCTTCTATGGATGTGCAGTTATGCTTTGGTCTGTGCTTTTATCGTTTTGGATATTTATGAGATATGTTTATGTTCAGGGCTCAAAACGTTCTAAGCTAGTACAACTATGCAAGCTCAATTTCACTCATTGTTGCATTCCGAATGTGTCAGAACACAGTTCATGACTCAACAATTCTAAGACTTGCCACAGGAGGCGCTATAGCGGGCATGAATGTAAACACTCTTCTACAGTCAGGTAAACTAAAGTCATGGCAGAGCAACAGTTTAAAGAGAATTTTGCTGTGCAAGTTAAAGTTGGTTTCAACTGTCAACATTTAGCTACCTGAATAATAACACATCCGATTTAACAGCATAGACATTTGAAAGAAACTCCCATCACACCCTTGAGAACTGAGGTTTGTTACTGCCGCAGTAACACAACAGTAACACAAGAGTGCATGCTTTTGCATTGCTACGTACTTCTGTAGATTGTTTTTGGCTTAATATGTTGTATAACAGCCCATGAATAAAAGGACTTTGGTGGCCCATCACTTGTATAGACATGAAAATAGACTAAAAAAGTTTTGAGTTTCTTTGCTGAAATGTCTTGTATACCTTGAGCAGGATGATAGATTTGCATGTCTGCTAGTTTCATTCATTCAAACTGTCTTGGATTTGTGTACAGGAGGTAGCTAGTAAGGAAAGGGAGGGGATGGTGTATGAAAAATCCTCCTCAAAATGTAGGGAGAGAGAGAGAGAGAGAGACCTACTTCATCAGACTGGTGTTCTAGTAATTCACTGGTTCGGGATCATTTGTTGCTGTTATTTTCTGGATGAGTTCATATATTGCTTTAGAAATCCGATAATAGATTATCCGCTTATGCCATGTGAAAAATTAAACCATCAACCCACCTCATGCCTAAAGCAACACCAAAATAGAATGAGCAACAAGCAGGCCTTTCAAGTTTGGTCCGTATCAGAAGTACGCCACGTAATCAACAAAATTGGCATTTCAATTAGACTGCAGAAAATTATAACTGACCAAAACAAATGCTGTAAACAGGGCTGCAAGTGTAAGCTGGTGGCAAAATTCTAAGTATTTTTACACGGAGGGGTAGTCTTGTCCGTTGTAACTGCCATCACAAACAACCCTTAAGGAACATGAATGTTGGGATCAGCAGAGCTTGCTCGGTGCACACAGCAACTTCTATTGATATTTTCCAGACTACATTAAATATGGGTTATGTTTCGGTACTATGTTGGATCACAACCTGAGGTCCAAAGTAAAATCTGGGTACTCAAGCAAAACCAGATGAGAACCAGATAGTGTTTGCTTGATTTTTGTGTCAGAGCTATGGATAAATGAGGGTTTGTTTTTGTGATTGTATGTGCATGCATGTGTGTGCAAATTACACATTGGACCACTGCAGTGACACTTTGGCCCAAAGGATGGCAATGTTACACACAGATTCTAGAGGCTTCCCTCCCAAATGCCAGTCTGGGAACTTCTCAGCGGGGCGAGCTAGGTCAGTCTATTGTGGTTTGGCGTGTCGTTAAAGTGATGCCATTTGTTTCGACATGCTTATGGCTACAAAAATGTCTCGCCCAACATGTCCGTAAGCAGAGTCCTCAGGCAGTAATCTACACAAGCAGTGATGTGAACACCACTTCCTCCTCCACTGTTACAACAGACGTTGTAAATTGATCATTCAGACAGAAAAGATTAAATGGAGAGAAATTAAATTCTAGACATTATACTTGAAAGGTTTCTGTTATTTGGCAAACTCATTTTTGGACCTCTTTTTAAATACTATGTACATTCACATTAATTTACTGTGGTAATTTTAGATATATTTATATGTGTATTTATATTATAAGATACCCTAAGGGCCGTTTCTGAGGTTCCATTCAGTAGCTGAATTCTCTTTTCATATTGCACCTCCGTTCTCTCACTGTCTTACAATGCGAGCAATATAAAATATTCTACATGAGGATTCTCACCATCAATATTGATACAACAAATCGAACAATAGGTACAACACAGCTTCTCTCCCATTAGAGTGTCTTTTTCTGTCCAATGTTTGGCTGAAACCTAAAAGAAGACAAAGAAAGAACGCATTCCTCATTCTGAGTACGCACACAAGCAGATATTGAAGACAGAGACATCCAGAAACAGAAAGTAATATCTACAAGCAACGTGTGATCCCTTCATGGATATCTGCTTAGAGGTTCTGTCAGGAGACAAAAGGGATGAACATACAGAAGATGGGGGGAGGTAGAAAGAGCGAGAGAAACGAGAACCAAGTCTACGCCAGTCTCGTGAGACTCTACAGTCTTGTCATGCTTTGGAAAACGAGGGAGAATGAAATCGTACTACAAAATGAAATGTCTCAGCATTCAGAGAGCTTTAGGAAAACCAAACGAAAATGTTTGAGAAGAAAAGGCTCATTCTTAGTGTACAATCCAATTAGGTTTTTGGCAGTTCCATTGCCATTCGTCTTTCCTTTTGAGGCCAATCTGTCTCTCTTCGTTTACTCATCCTCGCCTTCTCTTTCGTTTTCATGTCATTTCTCTTTGCGGCGGACTGGGTGACGTGCTTTAAACATCCCAGGTGTGACCCTCCCTTGCCATAGCGATGGATCCAGGCTAAAGTCGGCGTTCCTCAGGATCTGAGTGGGCAGCACAGTGGGCACAGTGAAGGTTTGAGTGTCTAGTCACCATGCCACCTCTCCACAGACTGTGGAACTCTGGGCTGGCTTTACTGCTGAGGAGGTGAAGTTGTTTGTGTTTGGTTACAAGATGAGTGCTTCTTAGTAACTTTGGCAGTGTAATAAAAAGGTTTGGATTATGTTTTTTTTTTTTCATTTAAAATTCATTTGGGTTCACGTCAGTACAGAGAGGTGAGTCTGGAGTAGATTTTCTTGGCTCGCTAGCAAGGTAGTTAACAGGTTTTATTATTCTTATTATCATCATCATCATTATTTCTTTTGGATTTTTGGACTTTTCTTTTGTTTTAATTATAGTCAAAAAATGAAATGCAATGTGTCATGTTGTGAGGAAAAAGCTCTTTGGAAGATTTTCCGTGTGGCAACAAGCTCTTGTCCATTATTGAAATCCCGCAGTGGCGGCTGTCGGTCATTTCGGAGGAATCCATCCTACATATATTTAGTCCTACCTGGGTCAAGACATGTTCAGAGTATGGTGCCACCCCAATTCACACAGAGCACACCTCACTTAAAGGGTGTAGGTAACTGAGGCCATGCCTAAAATTGTCTTATACATGAATAAAACATGTAACGTGTAACTATACGTGTTTTCTTGGCTTTCTTGGTGGCATCCAGTATACCAGACCCTGCTCATGTTGCATTAAACACAGTAGATCCTTTTGTGAAGGAATCTGAACCTTGATGGGTTTTTTGGAGATTGAGAAAACAAGATGTGGAAGCCAGGTTGCCGTAGTTAATTTTGAGAGGATGGCTAAGTATGGTGGAGGTTCCTCAGCTTGTTTTGGATGAAGGATGTTGTAGCAGCAGTAGACGTGGCTGGGCATGGGTTAAGATTTGGGGTTCATCAGTCAACGGGATGAGGAATCCATCAGGGCAGGTGTTGCTGGAGTGGTTGAGCGAGAAACGCTGCTGGAGCTCACTTCTTTTGGACTGCCACTGCTGCTGGTTTGCCCCACCAGGGACAGGGGGCCTGGAGGGGTGCTCTCGGAGTGTGTGGGGGGCACGCTGGACGAGGAGGAGATGGAGGTGGTAGATGGTGTCCCGAGTGGCACGCTGCTACTCCCGGACAGGCCCTGGCCGCATACGTGATGGTGCTTCTCCCAGTCCTTGTGCTGGCAGAAAGAGCCACAGTAGCGCGCAGTGTTGCATCCGCTGCACGTCTCACTAGCCTTGCGACCACAGTTCCAGCAGCTCTGTAGAAGGAAGACGAACGAGGACTGTTTTATGATTGCCATACAAATAGATATCAATCTCCATGCCATGATAAAAGAATGCACTTACACATACTACATTAGCTTATGAGACTAATTGTGTTTAATGTTGCATGCTTATATGTGGGCATGTTTCCAAATGGCAAACTATCATTTAGTACTACTTGTACTACTTCTGTAGTATGTACACTGTAGTGTACACAGTGTAATACGTGAGTTTTCTTTATGTGTAGAATACCTAGATGACCTGCTGCCTTTGCCAAAATGAGCAGTGAACAACCAGAGCACAATGTTTTCAGTGTGACAAATGAATTGAGGCAATATCCAATAGTAGGCAGTATGCTGTATAGTTGTCATCTATTCTGAACATCGGCTACATGTAGTACTTACTTCACTGGAGTCCTTCTGCTGGCTAATGACAGTCAGCGCATCCTCAGAAGCCTGTCTCTTAGCCTCAGCCAGAGCTCTCTCCATCTTGGAGCGCTCAGCAGAGATCATCTCGTGAGCTTTCCTCTCAGCATCCGACACTGCCTTCTGCATCTCTGACATGGCCTGTCTTTTCACTTCATTTACTGCTTCCTCTGGAAATGAGAAAGGTAAAAAAGTAAGACATTATACCCCTAGACCACTGCTGTTCCTCTCAACATCGTTTATTGAGGCATTCAAAGCTTTCAGCTTGTTTAATCTCTCCAAACAGATGTACATCATCCAAGATTTAAAACATTCTGTCAGAAAAATAAGCTATTAATAATTGATCCAAACGACAGTGGTTACAATTATTTCCAGAGTTGATAGGCAGTAGACATCTTGAAAGGTTGTTCACAAGCTTGCCTATTTACCTAACAATATATGATTAAATATTTCATATTTTTTTACTAAGTGGATAAGTGGCAGCACAAAAGCATTGCTTTGTTACTGAGGCTGGATCACTCCATATAGAATAAGGAAAACCAGGATGATTTGTGGCAAACCTTGTTCTACAAATGTTCTACACTGTTTGAGAGTAAATGTTTGTGTGCGTGCGTATATCCATGTGTTTTCAGGACATGCAGGTGTGAATGTGTAAGGGTGTTGTCTAAAATAGAAATCCAAAACCTGACTCATTAGCGCTTTGAACATTAGGGCTCCTTGTGCTCCACTGTCTTTCCTTGGCCTTTTTAAAATGTGAACATTTAACATAAGCTCTAAAACCTAGTGAGCTAGGTGACCTAAACCACATTTTAGGGCATCACAGTCACATTTCCAATGTGAAGGCTGTCCCAAATAATAGATAGCCATGCATGCTGTCTTAGAAGATTTGGCCAAAATCTGATGTAGCATTGAATGCATCATTTTCTGAAAAAGCAACCCCAGATTGCATTGTGACAAGCAGAACAATTAATCCAAAATGGTAGACTTAGGTAGATGTTTCAAGATTACAAATGATTATACATATATACTTGTATTGCATTCAGTACTGAAAATAATCATAAACATTGTGAAATCAAATTTAAAATGAATTATTTTACCCAATATTTGTGTGTGAAACATTTTTTGTGATTCTTTTAGTATCATGCTGTTAGCTTAGCAACATGCTAACACCAAATTAATTGTTTCTCTTGCGCCTCACACAAGGAGTTGCCTATGCGAAGTCTTTAAAAACAGTCACTTTCAAAGTTCCATTTATGTTAGGATGCTGCATAAAGAAGTAGCTGTCTATATACACAACTACACAGCTCACTAGATTTGAGAAGAACTACTGTTTTGTGGGGTTATGGTTTAGACAGTATGTGGGTGATTTCAAAATCTGTCAGGATATGATGTGCCTGGTGAATGCATGTGTATTGCTGCAGGGGGTACACACACACACACACACACACACACACACACACACACATTCTTATTGCATATTTTGCATATGTCTGAGCTCTATACTCTTTGCCCCATAGTGTGTTTACTCTAGAAAGCTGGTTGTGAGGAGCCCGGTCATAAATATGTCATAACACACCCTCCATTCAATTCTCCATAGACTTCTGCCTCAGGCTACTAACTGACTGAGTGTATGTGTGTGTGTTTCAAATCTACATCACTACTGTCTCAGCTGGAAAGCTAGTTAGTATTCAGTTTGTTCTCTCCGCACCTCCCACACACATTTCCTCATTTTTTTCATCCTGTCTTTGCCTTCATTCTTCACTTCTTTGGTTTTTACTTAATCTTTTTGGTTCCCGACAATGTTTCTGTATCTTTGAAAACACTAGACTGCTTAATCAGAATCGGAGCATGCACCACTAAAACTAGTTTGCAAATTTAATTAATTTTTATCAAGGAGACTTGAGCAGATGCTAGAGCATTTGGCACATAATGGAAAACATGGGGCGGCAATATTAACATTTTAATCCCACAGGGATATGACAGTTTTCTTTTCTTTTTTTTCTGTTATTCTTTTGCATTTTCAAAGACAGGCCTCACCAAAGGCAGAAGGACATGAAAATCTAGACACCCACAGGCCATTCATGTTTGGCACACCTTTAATATCTCAATTATTTCTCATAGACAGCAATGAATGGATAAAAAAACCTTTTAATTCTACATGAATTAGCAGATTCTTAACATTTTATCAAGATCCTAGTAGTCTCACTTTTAGTAATCTCAGTTTTCATTTTACCTCTGGAAGTTTCAGAAGAGAACTGTCAATGCTTTAAACTATGGTTTGCACTCAGTCTGTCACCAAAAATGATTTTAAACATTTTTCATCAAATTCTGATTTGTCTGATCTATGCTATCCACATTAATTTGATAGTTCTGTCCTCTTAATGCATGTCAATATTTGTCTCATTTGTTTACATTAGATATTTTAGGAGAAATACCTGCGAAAAATTTTTTTTACATAACTAGAAAAATTATACAAGGCCAATTAAAAAAACAGAGTTAAAAAACATCTATGCATGTTGCCGCTTGGAAAATCTTCCACAGAGCAGGTTGGTTTGTAATGCAGGTGCTGTTACTCACCCTGCTTGTTCTGAAGTTGCTTTAATGCTGGCGAGAGCGGGATACTTGTAGCACCTGCATGAAAAACAACTGCCGTTAAAAAGGCTTTTGTCACAGTGAAAATGCAGCTAAGTTTTGCAGACAACAGCAGCATCATTTCAGCATTTTATATTAGTAATGGCATATTGATTTTACTCAGCTGTAATGTTACTGGTGTGGGTCACAGTTAATAAGTGCCCTTTGATCTCTGACCTTTGGGCGAGTGACACCACCTGTGCTCTGGCTGACCCCATCAGTATTGTGTGTGACCTACATGGCACAGAGGGCAACCAGGCTTTTGTACAGCCCCCATAACTTTTTACTGTATATCTAGCTCCAGTAATAAAACAGACTCTAGTGAACAAGAACACTAGAGTCTGTGCTTTTCCCTCACTTCTCTTTCTTTCTTTCTTTCTTTGGACAGGGTCACGTTTTTTGGTCCTACCTGTGCTGCTCTGCTGTTGACTGCGGCAGTTTACTGCATTCTCACTGCAGCTTTAACTGCAGTTGTCTTTCATGGTCATGACAGATGGAGAGCTTTTAACAATAATGACATTCAGTGGCCTTTCCCGCTCCTGGCTTTGCATAACTATGGCTGTGAGGCCCTGCAGGCCAGTGTGCATATGTCTGTGTGCATGCGTGGAAGTAGTTGACAGTAGACAATGCACTTACCAGCCTTCCGCCAGATCTCCTCGGGCAGGTAGCCTGATGGGGGACGGTGCAAAAAGTCTCTGTGAATTTCTGTAAAAGAACATGAAAAAAGCGACTTGAGTTTACCTGGATGAGAGAAAAGCTTCTTATACTCCCTCAGACGTGGAAAATACCAAAACAATATAGTATAACTCTAAAATCATAGAGATGCTTTTGGAGGTTGACAATCAGATGTGACATAAATATTTTTTAGTCCTAATTAAAGCAATCATATTGACAATTTTGTTGTTTGCTTTTTTTATTTTTCTGTCTCATAACACTGAGTAACCCCTCCCACACCGAAATTTCATTGGTACAAAATTCCTCATAGCTGTATAATAAACATTGAATATGTTGTGACTGCCAGTGTCGTGCATTTATTTTTGTTTTCAATGGCAACAGAAAAATTACTTTGCTGGGAACTTTTGTCGTGCCTAGTTAGGACAGTGTTTCCCAACCCTATTCCCAGGAACCTACAGTACTGCACATTTTGGATGTCTCCCTTTTAGACACCTAATTCAAATCATAGATCACTGTACTAATTACTCAGGTGTGTTGGCTTACAGAGACAACCAAATACAGTACTGTGAGTCCCAAGGAACAGGGTGGGTTAGGACAATGGTGTGACAGACAAGGATTAGCTAGACTAGAAAAGGTAGGGTAAAGACAAACTGTAAGGTAAGGTAAGTGGGCTAAATGTGGGATCATATGCTGACTGGTCATCTAAAAAACAGGTCAGATTTTTTTGAAGTATAGTTTTAAATCGCATTCATCTGAGTGGTGTGTTGACTCATGGAAACCACTTAGACGAGGGTGGTGTCTGCAGTCGCTAAGAATGTGTGAGACATGCTGCATGCCGAGCATCTGCGCCTGCGGCTGCATCTGCAATGGAGCATGTACCTAGCGGCTGTGTGTCGTTGCTGTTAGGAGTGTTGGAGGAGGAAGAGTTGTGGTGGAGAGGAAGAGGAGGAGGCCGCTGGGCGGAGCTCCCACCTTTTTTCATATCCTCCACATCGCTATAACGACGGATCCAGTGGTTCATCTCCTCGCGGTCTGCCTCCTGGCAGCGTCGCAGCACAGTGAGGGAACGCCGCGTCTTCTCCACCATATCCATTATACAGTTCAGCAACTATAGAGAGGAAGAGATAGAAAGGGATGGAAAATAGTAGAAGAGGATGTTATGAACCAACATTAGACCAGTTACATCCTGAAGTCCACACTAACAATTCTTTGGCCATTACTAATAAAAAAAGATGCTATATTTTATTTGAAGGGTTGATGCATTAGTGAGCAGCACGAGCATGAGATATTTAGAACGCTTTATTTGAGTGTGTGTCTGTGTGTAATCCAGTGGTGCAGTGAGCGGTTGAGTGGTTAAGCAACAATAGCCCTGCAACAGCTGCGCTGCCAGTGGGAGAAGCCAAAACAATTAATTCTTCCCACATGCTTCTAAAGCCTTCTCTCACTCTCGTCCTCTTTCCTCCCATCTTCCCCAACCACCCACCTCCCCTCAATAACTTCTTCCCTCACCCATGTGATGCCATTCTTCACTCTGAGTATGTTGTTGGCTGTATTTATTTCATATTTGGATACAGTCCAGAATAAGCCTGATTTCACAGACTGCAAGCATTGTCTCAGCTGCTCTCTTCAGTGGGTTCCTCCCTCCATCTGTGGCCTTTTTATTCAATATGTGTTTGAGTGTAAGTCTGTATAGAGGCAATGGTGAGGTGAGCAAAAAGCATAACAAAGGCCTTACTGTCATCCAGAAAAGGTCTGAACTAAGTCATCTACTATCAGGTGCCCATCGAAAATGTGACATAGCTTAAGGCCCAATCCCAGTTCTATTTTATACCCCTTCCCCTTGAAAATATTCCTCTAAGAATTGGGACACAACTACTATGCCGTCACACGTCATCTAGCTCCTACAATACACACACCTATACTGGTGTGCCTGCCCCACGACTTTTATTAATAACAGTTTAAATACTTAATCGCTACATTATAGTTTCCAGCAACGAGAGGATAAAGTCGCTGTTTTTTAAGTAAACTCACTCTAAAAAGAGAAACACACAGACGCGCATACACGCAACTTTCATCTCTCTCTCTCTCTCTCTCTCTCTCTCGAATTGGCAATATTTGAGAAAAGGATTTAGGTATTTCTAATTATTGGGGGGACTAGCCCCCCTCAATGTCTACGGTGGTTATCGCCCTGATCAGACATGAAAATATGTTGTGGCACTATCGTGCAGTCTATAATGATATGATGTTAGTTAGCAAATATTAGAGATTTTTTGCAAACATGTCTTTGAGTAACATGAATGTAACATAAAACAAATGATTACTGTGACGAGAGGGGCGGGGCCGAGAGCCGTGGGAACGGAGCGAGGCCGGTGGAGTAAATGCTAATGCATTTTAGCATTTTATTTTGTGTTTTGGTTCTGTTTGTGTGCGACGGTAGTCCGCGAGGGGCTGTCGCGCTATTTTGTGTTTGTTTTATTATTAAAGTTTTGTTCAAATGTTCACCGGTTCCCGCCTCCTTCTTCCCGAAATACGAACTTTGTTACAATTACTTTTTGTTAAAATCTTTATTAATGCCAAAAATGCTTACATTTATGTGTCTTTTTGTTCGCTCGGGCAGCCATGTGGCCCCTGAAGCCGGTTTACACTGAGATAATTCATACCCCTTCGTTTGAAGTGTGATCCCGAAAAATCTTTGTTTGAAGGGCTGTCTGGCCCTTCCCCTATGCCTACCCCTCCAACCAAAAGAGAATTGAGACACCCCTACCCCTTCAGGGGAAAGGGGAAGGGCTAAGGGGTAGAATTGGGATTGGGCCTAAGTCTGACAACATCCCTTCCACTATGGTGCTCTTCTATTTTGTCTTTCACACCTTTTCCCTCCTGTACTACTTTCCCATGTTCATAAGTTGACCTTGTTTTTGACTTGGTGCACCATCTTGGTCAAGTTGGTTATGGTTCTTAGATCACCTTGGACCAGCAACCAGTTAGCTACCACATTTCAAAAATCATTCTAACCACATTAATCTAATATAACTTGTGTATCACCCATCAGAGTTAGCAACTATTATGCTCTCTGCTTTATGTATGAAAAATAATATTAAACAAAGCATCTGGTCACACATACGTTATCGAGGTGCTTCCATTCTTCAGCCCACTCGCGGTCTGTCAGCCGATGATCAATCACTTCCTCTTGACGTGCTCCATGCACGGCTGTAACACAAGCACAGCACTACATTAGCATATGCACTAAACACAATAAAGAATCCATGTCCATGTAAGTGCAATTCTACAATGCTCTTCATTCCTGCCATTATTTCTGCAGTTGGCAATATTACTCAAATTAAAAAGTCTAAACCATAACCTCTGTTAGAATTAGCCATATTTAAAGTTGTTGTAAAAAAGCATGTATATATGTACACCTGTGACTGTGTATAATTTGAATTCTTGTTTAAAGCATTGTGGTTAACAACACTACTTAACTATGGTAAAATCACTGTAAACTTGGCCTTAAGTAGCTTATTGGTTTATTTTACTGTAGACTACAGCACTCTGACCTGTCTGCCGGTGACGATCCCGGACATCCCTCTGCTCTGCGTGTCTGTAAGCGTCTCTGTAGTGGTGGGTGAGTGCCATGTCTTCCAAACGGTAATGCTGTGGGGCAGGAGGGTTAGGATGTGAAAGGCCATTGGGTGGATGCGTCGGTAGGCCGTTTAGGGGAGGGTGAGCAGGTAAACCACTGCTGGGGCTGAAGCGCTGACTGGGGCTCACTGTGCATGGACGTTTGGCCAGGTGCTCCGGGTGCAAGCCATCCCTGTCCCCTGCACTCTCTTTGGTCCTGTTACAAAGGTTGTAGAAATGCTTGGAAATGCTGTAGAAAGAACATTTTTAAGAGGAAGGAGGGCTATTGATAATTTTTCATTCTTGCAGTCTAACCCATCCCACCTCCCTCTTTTTCTCTGCCCCTCCACTCATGTTTTCCAAATGTTGAGGCCAGCTGTGAGCCCTATGTGGACTCTAGCCTTCATATACCAAGAAACGGACTTAAATCCCAACCCCTTAATCTTTCCCGTTCTCACCCATTTCTCTCTCTCTCTCTGTCTCTCTCCTGAGCTGCTGTACTGTGAGAGCTGCTCCCTTTGGCAGATGTTCAGTGACACTGGCGTTTTGGAGCCATCTGGCTGGCCTGTGCTGCAGTGTTGATAATAATCTGTTTAGCTGAGTGCTGCAGCCAGGCATTCAGGGCTAAAGCTCCTCTCCCTTCTGCGTGCATGAAATACATGTGTGTGCGAGGACTGTGCAAGCTTGTTTTCTTGCACTTGAGAGTAGAGTGCAGTTGGCTTGGACATCTGAATCTGGCTGCATGTTCAACACCCCATCATGCCCGCCTCCACAACCAACCCAAAAACTTCCAACCTTTTGCAGCATTTCTGCAGTTGTGGCCAGATTTCCCACAAATCAAAGCAACAGCTGGGGCTCCTGCCGTGATATGGTAAGCCTAGGCTTCAGAGATGGAGGTGTATGGATTACAGTAGGGGATTGCCCATTCCTCTACCCCCACCACTCTCTTTTTCTCTGTCTCTCTCTCTCTTTCTAGTCATCCCTCCCCCCGGATCAGCTCAAGCAGGGGTTCAGCAAGATCACCATCTGGACACATCACTGACATATGGACAGCTACTGGGGAACTAACAGGAGACAGTGCGGTTGAGAGAGTAGAAGAAAAAACAACAGGAGACAAACAAAAATATTGGTGTTTTAAATCCCACTATTAATTTTTTGATTGTCAAGAGTTCTAAATGTCTCGCCAATGTATGGACACTGTTGGTATGCATGTGCATTTGTGTGATGTTAGAGCATCTCAGTCTGTTTCCGCTCCATAGACAACTGGCAGCACCTGGCAGACACGCCACATACATTTTTACCTTCTCTCTACCCTCTTCACTTTCTCTTTCTGTGTGGCCTAACCTTCCCACACCCTCCACTCATTACATTGAGTGTGTGTGCATTTCAAAGCTAGACAGGAAGAAGTATGCCCAGGGCAAGGTTGTGTTGACATTTACCATAGCTGTCTACATTTTTGCCTTTTGCTTGACTTTGTAGATTTTTATGGCTTAAGGTATTTGTTATGAAAATGGTACACAGAAAGACAAGTTTGTGTGTGTGTTAAAGTGTGTATACCTGTCCGGGGTACGTCTCTTGCCATGCTCATTGAGTTCCAGCATGATTTCAGAGGAGTCCAGGGGAGAGCTGGCATTGGCATCCAGCAGCAGCTGTTCGTGCTGGGCCAGATACTGTGCTGGGGTCTGCTTAGCCATCCGAGCACAGTGAAGCAGCTCCCTCTGCAGGAGGGGCAAGTTAGCCTACCAGACAGAAAGATAAATAAAATGTGGGTGAAAAAGGAAAGCTTTTCTTTTTATAAAGACAAACACAAATCTCCAGGATCAGTAGGGCTGGTTTGGTGCCACTGGACCACTAACAAAATCTGGTTAGTGAAGCTCGTTGACCAGTTCTTTCTGATCAAGCTGGTTAGCTAAAGTCTAGCTATTTAAGCTAGTTAATAAGTGTGTTGATGATACGGACTGGTTTATGCTGTTTAGTCCTAGTTTGGTAGTAATCTAGTTTATGGTTTGTGATTGACATTATTGTTTATGGTGAATGCGGACCAGAATGGCTTTCTGCATAAGCTGGTTAATAAAGTAAGTCTTGATGGTTAAGCAAGTTAAGATTCCTGGTGGGCGCAATCAGTAGATTATGCTGGTTAGTCTAATTGGTTTAATACTAAGCTGGTTAATATAGTCAACTGTGTGTTTTTTCTGAAGCTGGTTAGCTAAAAAATTCTGGCAGTTTAGGTTAGTTAGTCTGGTGGCGACATCAGCATCCCAAGCTGGAGACCAGTATTTAAAACACAGCATATTCCGATGACCAGCTATGTTGGTATTTTAACAGGGATTGTGTTAAGAGAGAGAGAAAGAAAGAGGATGAGATATAACAGACACTTTCTCTGGCCCACCATGTGTTTGTACCTTGCTGAGGTCTGCAGGAGAACTCTGCTGCCTCTCTCTCTCCTTTGCTTGCTTGTTGTCTTTTTCTCTTTGGCTGTAAGTATAACACTACACAGCTGGCTGATGATACAGATGTGTAACATCAACACTCTGCAGGCCTTTGACAGCAGCCTGTGAGCAATGTGCTGGGTGCCATTTACTCTGCTTTGAATAAAACACTCACACTCTGAGATATGTTTTGTGTAGTCTATATCTCACTAACATGCGCACAAGCATAGTGGAAGATGGGGGGTGGGGGGGCCTCCATGGCAACTTTCCTCACCAAACATTATAGATATATTATCTCTCTACACCCAGTTGTATTAGTATGTATGTATATTGAATAGGTTGAAATTTGAGTTTTAAGTGTGTGAATGTGTTTTTGAATTATTGTCTTTATATATAGTATTCCTAGATTTTAAGCTGGTCAGGGGAGTGTGGCGTATGACTTGAGGCCCCTTCAGTACTAGAACATTCTTTCAGCACCCAACTTGGTACTGACATTTTAAATCTGTGTTATCACTACATGTATTTCATTGCAGTAGTAAAGCATGTGAATGGGTTGTATGTTTACCAGACACAGAGATGACATATGTATGTCTGTGTATTCACATGTGTGTTAGGGATGTGGTGACATTGATTCAGGGAGTTACAATGCAGCATATTTTTTGTCTATCAAAATTTTGCAATTAAATATGCAATCAACATAGTGATTTCCAAGTGACTGAATTTTACATTCTGATTATGTTTTTGTACGCATAAATGCAGAATAATTTGAGAAAGATTTGCAATGCATCAGAGAATCTGTGTATGTGTCTGAGCCCTGGATCTATGCGATGTCTGAGGACAGAAAGAGATCAGCATAAAAACAACAGCGGCAGAGCAACGGAAAGCTATGCTGCTTATAGCACCCACTGCAACATCTGCCAGGAAATCTTCTTTGGCCCACACCACTCCTCTCTACTCTGGGTAAACACAAGTGTGCCAATTTTAATGAATCACAAATGATGGCCATATGGAGCACTAGATCAGCCCAGCCACAGCAGAGCGTGGGGGTTGGAAGGGGCCAAGGATGCTTTATCAAATGAACTTCACTCATCTACACGTACAGAAAACCATGTATCCGGGGTCAGGGAAATGCAGAATGAGTCTGCTTATGTGTATGCCGATTCTGGCTGCCATCTATCTACCTTCTTTTTGTTTGTCACTTTGCCTGTCTGTCTCAAAGTCCCACTACCCTCCTCCTCCAACCCTTCCCATATGGTGCATCATAAGGAAAAGCTCCTCATACAGATACAGAAAGACTTTTAGGAACTACGGCGGAGTAATCTCCACTTCAGACACCACATCCACAGACTGTTCACCCATTGTATGATGCATATTGCATAAAAATGCTTTTTCAAAAAGCAACTTGATTGGCTGGTTTTATAAGGCATGGTGCATGCATTTCTATCAGTCTGCAGGGAAACAAAATTCCCTGGCTGTTACAAAGAGCACTTCCAAAGACAAACTCTGGATTGCTGGACAAAGTTTGAATGGTTCATGCTCTCAAATCTTTGATGATATGCAAAAGTTTTGTTTGTTATTAGGAAGTAAACGAGATATCCTTAAGCGTACCTGTATATTCCACTTTTCTCTCGGAGTTTTATGTGATTTACCAACTCCTAAAGTTAGGTTGGTTGCTTTATAGTTAACCAGACGGCCCCTTCCTTACTAAGGGGACAATTCTTGGCCAGAACACAATGCAATGTGGACCCAACTTTATCCAAATAGTTAAAAGTCTGGCTATACAAGATTACTGGCAGAAGAACTCTGTCTGTATGAGATGAATGTTTTTATGCCTGTTCGTACCTTAAGAAATGGAATGACAAAGGGACGCAGGGGAAAGTTTGTGGCTTCCTGAAGTTTGGAGTGGAACTCTTCGATAGTTAGAGTTGAGTTCTGATAAGACAGAAATAGAAAACAATTTAACACCCAGTGGAGAAAAGAACTGGAGACAGCACATACAGTTAATGATAAAGAGAGCCATCAGACACTCACCACTAGCCCCAGCACTAGGCTGCGTACACGTTCTCCAATCTCGGGCGAGATGTCATTGCCAAACTGCTGCAGTGTGGTGAGGAAACGCTTAAGTTTACAGAGTTGTCGGGCTCCACAGGCAGGGGGAAGCTGCTGGGTGGGCAGAGAAGCAGTAGAGGAGGTGGCCGGTCCATTGCTGAAGCCGTTGGGGGTCGAGGGAGCTCCGTTTAGCGCCGTGGGAGAGTGGCTGCTCCCGTTCAGCACTGAGGAAAGAGAGCCACTGCTTGTTTTAGCATAATTTAAGTCACGCCAGACTCCTTTGCTTTCATTTTTCTCCATCTCAGTCCTAGGAAGCACCCTCCAGGAAGATCCAACATAGCACGAAGAGGGCACATGCATTCTGAGAACTGAAACTACAGATACACTATGACAGTAACGCAGCACATTGTTCTGTACTCTTCATTTCATCCTCTACGTTGAACAAACACACCGCGAATGGGACCATCAGCAACCTCTCACTAGCTCTCTCTATGACATACACACATGCCGCCCACCCGGTCTATTGCTGCCCACTGCTCACACACTCACTCACTCACTAAGACACAACTATAAGAGGAACGTGTTAAAGAGGTCCCAAAAATAGCCCCCTAGACTGGGTTACTTTTATTCCAACAGCAGGTGTGTGTCTAAATCAGGCTGTGCACATGTCTACCAGCTGAGAGCAGATTTGCAGCTTTCCGAGTTCAGGCTGCCCCATCGACACTTCTACTCCATCTCCACTTCTGCATCTCATCCTTGCACTCTTTCCTCGTCCTTCTGATGGTTGAGTGCTTCTTTGGTTCCTTGTCCCTAAGAGTAGGCCTTATATCTTATGTTACCTGCGCCCGAAGCCATGACCACAGATAAACAAACATTACGTGAGCAGTGGACACAGCATGAGGGCTTAGAGTTACAGACCATAATCCTCCGGGACATTGGGAAGCACGTGATTGTGCAAACACACCTCGGAGGGTAGCTTTCCTTCAGGTTTGGAAGCATGTTCACACTGCTGGGTGTGTGAGTGTGTGCATGGCTTCATGTTGCAGAACACAGAGTCTTTCATTTTGCTTGTGCCCCCTTTTATCTTGCCATTCCAAGCTGGACACATGTGGGTTTACCATGTGACCCCCACACTTGTGTTCTGGTTTTAGAGTGGCAAGCAGGCTAAGCTACAACCCATGGAACAGGTGAAACAACAAGGCCCGTCATTGCTATATAGGGTAACGAGATCTGCCAAGCCCCGCCGAGCCTGATGCTGCCTGTGAATCCCTCCGTATGCAGTAAACAAATCTCTTGCTGTGTATCCTAAGCACTCACACACCCAGACAATGGCTCAACCTATCATACACAAACACTCTTGGTCATGTTACAAGTGCATTCTGTGCTATATGAATACTCTGAACATGACAATAACTACCGTTGATCTAATAGAGACTCCTTTAAATTATTATATGTTCTGGCAGTACTCTAACAACATGTTTATGAACATGTTTATTAAGTGTGCTGTCCCATTGTACATTTGAATGTGCATTATTGTGCTACTGTGGTGGTAAAAAAACACAGTATTCAAGGTGGTGATAGAGTTATCTACAATGTGTTATTATTAAGTTAGCTAGTAGCTACCTATAAAAAGTCGCCATTCACACATACACTTGACAAATCACAATTTGGACGATATTGTTGTCCTAGAGTGTTATGAATGCAGCAAGTTCAAAAAACAAATCTATGCATGTTTGTACTATAGGATAACTTACTTGTTGTAGGTGTGAATGATGCGTTACGATTGACTGCCTGACTGACAGCTGGGGGTGGAGGTGGCATTGTGGGCGGAGTTGACCTGGGCTGGGTTTTGACATCAGCAGGTGAATCTGGCATCGTTCCAGCCTTCTGTCCCGTGCTACCTGCAGATGACATAAAACAGTTTTATTCTTTTAAAGCTTTTCCATTATAGACAAAAGTAGCGAGATAGACAGGCAGTGATAAGAACAACAACATGTACATTCAAACCTGTATCACCCTGTGAAGTGCCATGGCTAAATGTGTCTGAAATCTGCTAACTGCCAAGCCACAGCTCTGGTCAATACTTATTTCTCCTCTGCACACACATGAAAGTTACATGGCACTTGTTCAAACTGTATAATGTTTGACACATATGTTTTGTCTTGTTCACGGTGCTAGATCATGCGTGTGGCAACCTTTTTCATGAGTGAGTCATTCAGACAGACATACTATTTCATAGTAGTAAATCTGCGCAGTCTCCGCTGATAGAGATAAAGTGTGGCTTTGGCAGACTGAGGCAAAGGGTAAATGTCACTGCTGTTGGAAACATCCAGTCACACCTGTTCTTCTACTCAGCTGCTGCTGACGGGACCCCTCTGCCCACCACCCCTATCACCCTGACATCCACATCAATGTCCTCCACCCCCCACCCGCTCCCCCGCCTGTTGTCCACTCTTGTGCGCCGGATGGACAGGCTCTTGACAGCCAGTGACAAGTGCAGCTGGATCTGCTGCTGTCCATCACAGTGCTGAACACTTCAACAAGGCTGCGTTCACACCGACCCTCATTTGTGCTCCGCTGAGGGACCAAACATGGCAAGTCTTCTTCACCCTTGTCTGCCTGGCCTGCATTGGTCATGTAACAATCCTTTTGTCTACCCAGCTCCCTAACCATAGTGTCACATGCTGATCTCCCAGTTCTATCTTCACATGTAAAGTAGCACACTCATCGCTGTCAATCATGGGATGGAAATGTAGTTCATCAGAGTTCATACTTTCTCTTCAGTGTTGAAGCAAAACTGTCCCAACAAATGCCAGCAAACACCAAATTACAACAGCTGAATTAGGCAAGTTATGTATATGTCAGTGCTGGTAAGATATAATATGTTTATGTGTGGTCCAGGTATTCGTTACATCGTGTCCTACCAAATGTCCCCACAAGGATAATAAAACTTGTAATAATTTTTTTAATGTAAAAATTACATGTTTTCTGCAAGGGTTGGGGATAGAATGTAAAGTTTGTACAGTATAAAATTCCGTTGTCTATGGAGAGTCCGCATAAAACACAAAAACCTAACGTGTATGTGTGTGTGTTTATGTTTGAAAGCACAGATATTTCAAAAGAAATACCATCAGATGGTACTGAGATTAGCACATAGCAATACTGGTGACAGCTCGCATTTGCTACTTCTTAACATTGTCTGTCGCCAAGAAGGACAGTTCAGATGCCACACACACAAAGAAAGAACTTCAGTGCTCATTTATTTATTCTAGAGTCAACAATATTGTTTAAAGAGCTGATAAATGTATAAAACTTCTGTGTGGTAGTTTTTTTTTTTTTTTGATTGATTGACTGATTGTTTAATTACCGTATAATGATGTATCAATATGTTACTGTATGATTTTACGTCTTTGCTATGTTGTAATACATTTTGTATGCTTATGACTAATTCATGCATATTAAATTATTTTGCGTGTAAATCTGTAATTCTTTTCTCTTGAAAAATTATTTCCAAATTCATATACTTTGGTATTTACTGAGTACTTTATGGTATTTTAGAAAACAGTGGAATTTGCACATCCAAAAAACGTAGGGCCCTATCATACACCCGGCGCAATGCGGCGCCAGGCGTGACGCAAGTGTTTTTTGCTAGTTTCAGCCCGACACAGTTGTCATTTTCACGTCCTGCACCACGTTGTTTAAATAGCAAATGCAATTGCGCCCATTTGTGCGCCCATGGGCATGCTGGTCTGAAAACGAGGTGTGTTCAGGCGCATTGCTGGTGCGTTGCTATTTTGAGGCAACTGAAATAGACTGCGCCATTGACCAACAAAAACCTGGTCTAAAGTCAATAGCGCATTAGTTTTTTTTGTTATTTAAAGAGCACGTTAGTATAGGCTGGTCCACAGCGCGCGTACACTCTGCTTATTACACACACAGGTACGCACATCAGCACACAAACATTCCAAATATTAAAGGGGTCATAGGATGCCCATTTTCCACAATTTGATATGATTCTTTAGGGTCTTAATGAAAAGTCTGTAACATAGTTTGGTTAAAATTTCTCAATGGTAGTGTAAAAAACACCTTTTTGGCGGACTGATGACAGCTCACTCGGGGCAGGTCTAAGGTAAGACGCCAGTCCAGTTTGTGCTGAAACGCTACTGTCAATCAAACTATCGTGGGAGGGGCCTGTCTGTGTGACGTCACACAGACAGGCA